TCAATAAGAACTACATCTTTCCTTTATGACTTATATATATATGATAACTCAAAAGAATAGTTGGCTGGGGAGATAACTCAAGTGTCATAAGCACCTTCCTGGCAAGTGCAGGGTCCTGAGTTTGATCCCTGGTACCAATAAATAAATAAATAAATAAATAAATAAATAAATTTATCCAAAAACTAGCTTCTAGCTGTATACATGCAACTAAAGTCCTAGTTTTATCTCCCTTCTAACCTATGTCAGTGTTGGGCACCATAGGACATGTTCTTGTCAGCCTGTGGTCCTGCACTTTGACGGCATAACATCACTCTAGTACACAGGCAGCCAGCAGAGTGCCCAATGCAGCCTCCTGTTAGCATGGCCAGCAGTAACCTAACCAGTACAGCCCTGGGTCAGTGGGGCCTTGGCCCTGGGGCCTCTGCTTTGGAGGAGTCAGCCCTCACCTCTGACTACAATCCATCCTCACAGGGTAAAAAGTCTGAAATCTAGCAGAGTCCACACCCACCGTATACACAGTATACTCCGGGTACCTGAAACCCTGGAATGTTTTGCCCACTTTTGGGCCTTGGTGGGCCAGGTTGTATTCTCACAGGTGGACCGCCTTGGACTAAAGGAATGACCAACAGGTGGTTGTTGGCAAATGTTGTGAATGTAATTTGAACATGCAGATTGGGGAGTCTTTGGTAACTCTGAGATCCTCAGAGCGTGGGATAGAGCTGGAAGTGGAGAGAGAGGTGGGTGGGCTGTGGGCCAGCTCTCCTATTCGGTCTATTCTCCAAAGCATTTGAGAGCTCCAAACTCAGACCTGGTGGTCGTGTCAAGGTAGGAAACAAAACTGTTATATTCAACAGTCTGTTAGCTTGATATATAAAAATTGTTTAGATGTATAGTAAATGGTCTGCCATTGAACATCCTGTTGGCTTTTTGACTAGGGTCTTGGGAAGTAGATCTTGTGCTTGTAGAGTCTATCCTCTTACTCGGTTCAGTAATTCAGAGAGCTACCCTGACATATTGTCACTAAAGAAACTTTCACCTTGAGCCAACCTCTCACACAAGAGCACATGTGTGACATATGCACTCATATGTTAATCTCTCTTTGCAGCCTGTGAAGCCACGCACACCAAATCCCTGGTCACAAAGTCCAGTCCTAGATCTAAAGGCACAAAACAGACGTCACTTGTCATTTGTCAAAGATCTACGCACTGCCCGGGAAAAAAGGATTGCTATGGGGCCGTTTGAATCTCACACCTCAGGTCTTTAAGTGAGATAATATTCGGAAGATTTTTTTTTTTTCCAACACGGCTTCTCTCTCTGAAAGGAAAGGTACTTCATCAGGCTGAATCCTGCTCTTGCTCCAAGATACAGCCACAGTGGACCAGGTCTGTTCTGTCTCTTCATTGATGTTGTACAATCTTGTCACTGTTTATAAAGACAAACTATTTAACTGCAGACTTGATTTCTTAATGGGTAGTAATTACACAGAGGGTGAAGGGCCGGGGGAGGGGAATACAGTTCAGCAGCATAAGCGTCTGCCTGGCAAGCACAAGGTCCCAAGCTGGATCTCCAATATCAAAAAATACACAGAGGGTTGAAGAAAACTGATACCACATTTGGTGACAGAGGATATTTTTCCATACTTCTGAAAATCATATATTAAATATGGGTCAGAGCTCCAAATTTATTAGAGTAGAAGTAGAAATATTGAAAGATTTGCAAACAAAGCTATACAAATTATCCTCTGGAACCCAAACTAGAATCTCATTTGTCTAATAAACTGCCCAGGTGATTTTTTAAAAAAATCTACAAGTCTAGTCTTTCACTTTAAGAAAAAAATTGTATGTCTAGTCTCATTCTAGAGGAAGTTCTTTAAGGGCAATGAAGAAGGCATGTCACAGGGATTGTTAGGCAATGTGGCAGTCATGTCATGAGATTATTACAAAACAAAAAAAAATTTTAAAAAGAACAAAAACAGATCAACTCAATAATTTCCCCTTTGTTTTGAGTGGATTGGTGTGAACACACTTAAATTCCTGGGAGATAATGCAATAATTCTTCAAGACTTAATAGTTAATAATTCTTATGAGCTTCAGTATATTTAATGCTTAAAAGATTTAAGTACTCTGGAGAAGCTGAAAACTATCATAAGATGGGAGTCTGTAAGAGCACATAACACTCAAAACAACCATAGAAAAGGAGAGACCCAGAATTCGGAGTATGAATCTAGTTTTCTTTCCTAAGTATTAATTGCTGTTTACACTGTAAAAAGCATAGGAACATTCAAGAATGAAAATGGCAGTATGGAACCCCTCTCTCATTTTCTTCTCTCTAATCGCTGCTGCTTTTCTGGTAACACAGCTATTAAAATATAAACAGTAATATTTTCCACTATGAACTCCTAGCAACTATGAAGCGTGGTGGAGGGGCAGCTTTGGGGAGTGTCCATTTATGCATGACAAACGTTCCCCTTCCTTGACTCCTGTAACCCAGGTGTTCATTCAGCACTTCGTACATTCCCATCTATTTCCACATCTAACCTGAGGATTGTGTGATCTGGAGCTCACGAAGCGTTCAGAACAATGGATAATTCTGCCCGAGTACTTTCTCAGCTCCTCGATCTTTGAATTTGCCATTTAATAGTGAAAGGACTTTATTGTGCGCTCTTTTCATTGCTGGCAGGAGCAAGAGAGCTGAACTAAACTCTCTCAGCTGCCAGCCAGCAAGGCCACATAGAAGGTCTCTTGGGCCATCACCACTGTGGGAGACGGAGCAGCAGCAGAAGAAACGGCCCTTGTGTCGAGGAGTTTACAAGGGGTTTTAGAGACACACATACAGGAAGCTTTCACGACAATATGTTTAATCTAGTGGGAATTGTGTGGCATGCAGTGGCTGTGCTAAGTACAGGGCAGGAGGGCACGGAGTCAAAGATGAGAGAAATTTGTTGGACCTGGGCGGGGTGAGGGGAGCGAGGAGGACTTTGCAGGTGCTGGAAGGGACAGGAGGAAGGGCTGGAGGGAGGCACGGGCTGGCAGGACCCGTGAGAGCACGTGTCTCCTCTCCTGTTGCCAAAGTGATTCGCCGCTTTTTTCACAGTAGACAGGCTAGCAGCCATTCTCCCTGCTGTCACGTTTTTGCTAATCTATTCATATGAACAAAATGGTCTGATGACAAAACACTCCTCCAGTTCCTTCCTAATAGGCCTCACCTGTCCTTTGTGGCTGATTCTCTTAGTGTGTCTTCATTCCCTCCCTTTTTTTGGCTTCATTAACTCGCCTGGTTGAGGAGGCCAGTGACCGGTTGCTATCCTGCTGTAGAAGGCCATTTCATTTTGGCCCAGAATGGCAGGAAAATACAATGGTGGCTTTTACTTTGGATCTAGAGAAATTGTCCATTTTTAAACCAAGATTCACATTTCTCTTAGTTTATACATTCTATCAAAATTAGCATGTCTTAGTGAACAAGGTCAACAGACCTTATCAAGGGATGGATAATCAGAGATCAAGAGTTAAGTTGTGAGGCTGGGCGTGTGGTACACACCTGTATCCCAGCACTCAGGAGGCTGAGGCAGGGGATTACTGCAATCAAGGCCCAACCGGGCTACACAGGGAGACCCTGTCTCAAAAGAAAAAAGAAAGAGTAACTTGTATGAGAATTTACTTTCTCCCTCCCACAACCTTCAAATGGCTATGGCTTGATTCTTTGATTCTTCCACCCTGCCTCCTCATTGATCTAGATTGTCACTGTCCATGTACCAAGAGTAGGTACTAGTAGTTATCATGGATATACCAGGAAGCATGAGAGTTTTTCTGGCTCTGAGGGGTTTGTTGCTCAAACAGATAAAATGGTCTTGTTTTGTTGAAGACGGTCACAGAACCTTGCAACGACAAAAGTGGAAATTGGCCACTGGTTTTTCTGAGACTCTAGTTCTATTTTCTTATTTGTTATTTATTTTTAAATCTTTGTTTATTTATTCAGTACAGGATCTTACTACAAAGCTCAGACTCATAGTGAATCTCCTGTCTCAGCCTCTGCAGCGCTGGTTTCAGGCCAGCACAGTGCGCCCGGGGTTCTGGGGCTGGCACGGCATGTGGTACCAGGGATTGAACCTGGGTCCTTGCGCTTGCCAGGCAGGCCCTTAGACTGCTAAGCTATCTCCCCAGCCCTAGCTATTTTTTAAAATGAAGTGCCAAAACAAAATTTTTTTTAATTATGGCAGATTTTAAAGTAGACACACTCAAAATCTTTGCTTTTAGCACAAAAATATACAATGAGTAATTTTCTTCTGAGATAATGCCAGAAATCTAAATCAACGTGAATGTTCACAGCAGCATTATTCATTATCTATACTAGTCAAAAAGAAAAAAAAAAATCCCAAATTGATGAATGGATAAAGAAAATGTAGTGTAGTCCTATAATAGTATGTTATTCAGCAATAAAGAGGAATGACTTAGGCAGGTATAATAGTGCACATGTGTAATCCCACCACCCTTGGAGGCAGAGATAGGAAGGTTGCAAGCTTAAAGGCCCACGTGGGCTAGTGAGACTCTGTCTTACATTTTAAAAGATTTACTAGGCTGGAGGTATAGCTCAGTCAAGAGCACTTGCCTAGCATGCAATACCCCACCTTAAAGCAGAACTAGACAAAATAAATAAGCCAAGCCCCACCTCGTTCAAAAACACTATTCTAGGCTCTGGGGACACCGTGGTGATCTAAACCATGAGGTTCTCAGCATTACATTTCATGTCGAGTCTGGATTTTCATGTGAAATCTCTCCACGGTTAAATATTTTCAATGAACTAAAAAGTATTTAAAACACTGTAAACTAAGATTGTGCAAAAACATCTCTGGGCCAAATTCAGCCCTCAGACTGACAGTGGGTGACCTTCAGTGAAAGATTTTTAGAAAGTTCCTAAAGCGCTACTCAGCTGAAACTTAGCTTCCTCAGCTGCTCTCGACTGCGGCCCGGCACCAATTATGGCGTGCTCCCCTGAGGTTTAGGGAGCTCATCAGTGCTACTTGAGCCAGGAAGTGGCCCAGATTCTGTCTGTCTCCATAATATGCTGCAGCCTTTGTCACTGACCCGGTGAGGCCCTGATAGTTTTCCACTCTTATGCTAATGGCAGTTTCTACAGGTTGGATTTCGAATAGATTTGTGCCTCACAGCCTTTCAAGATCATCTGTCTTCCAAGCACATTTATGGGAGGCCAATTCAGGAAAGAGTCTCAGAGCTTAGGACTTAGACTTTCCCATTTCCTTCGCTTGCCAGTACCCAGGATCTCAACTGCTTTTGGCCAAACAAGGGGCAGCAGTATAAGCAGCTCAATAATTGATGATTATCTTAATCTTTGTTACGACTGCAACATGGCCATGATCTCACAAAGAACATGAGCTTAAAATTTATCCTGTAGCTATTCAGGTCAGAATCAGCCTCATACTACTAATTTACCCATCAGCAGAGCAACAGTTTGAAGCTCAGAAAGAGAGTTTAGAGAGAACAATCAGGTTCTTCACCGGGCCACACACACTACCTATCGGCACAAAGCTGTTACCGAAACTCACAAATGAGCTCCTTTCAGGAAGAACATTCGTTAATCGGATGTGTTGGTAACCCGACAAAGTGAATCTTCTACATGTTCCTGTGAAAGTTTGAAACTCAAGTATTTGTAAGCAAAGACCTACTGTATTTACAGAGCTTCAGTTCCCAGGAGCAGGTAATTAACTCCTCAGTGTCCTTGAAGTGAGCCTCCTCCAAGAAAAAGATAAGTGAGCACATCAGATCTTGGAAACCAGACCACCTGACGGTGGGAAAATGACAGATTCAAGTTTTTCCTCCTGCTACCATGTGTGCAGTTGCCTTGTTTGGTTTTAGTCTTTTTTGATTTTACTGTATTTTTTTGGTTGAATTGCTTTTTAGAGGAGGTTTATTTTATTTTATTGTTTTTGTTTTTGGTGCCTAGGACCTAGCCCAGGGCTTCCAGCTTGCTAAGCAAGCATTCTGCTGCTGAGCCAAATCCCCAGCCCCCTTGCTACCATATGACTTCATAGAAATTACCTATTCTTCTGAACTTTGGGTTTTTGTGAGGGGGGGTTGAACTAAGGGCTTCAAGCATGCTAAGTGTTATGGTTTGTGTCTAGATATTCCCCGAAGCCTCGTGCAGTCATGGCGTGGCCTTCTAGAGCTTGTGATCGACTCACGGTCCCATGCTGGGATTATGGGTGTGAGCACTGCACCCGCCCAGGGGTGGGCAGCCTGAGGGCGGGAGAGAGGCCTGCTCTCTGCGGCTGCTCTTCCTTTTTTGCTCTTGCTGCTTCTGTTGTTTTCTGCTGCCATGAATAGCTGCCCTCTGCCATGCTCCACTCTG